TGACATTGTAATCTGTAGTGAGAGCTGGGAACAGGTGGAGGAGAAACTAGAGGTGGAGGTTTGCCCTGGAAAGGAGAGGAATGAAGGTCAGTCGCAGCAAGACGGAGTACACGTGTGTGAATGAGAGGGACCCAAGTACAAGAGTGAGGTTACAGGGAGAAGAGATAAAGAAGGTGGAGGATTTTAATGACTTGGGGTCAACTGTCCAGGGCAATAGATAATGTGCAAGAGGTGAAGAAGTGTGTGTGTGATAGAAGAGTTTCAGCTAAGATGAAGGGAAAGGTGTATAAAACTCTGGTGAGACCAGCCATGCTGTTTGGACTGGACACTGTGCCACCGAAGAAAAGACAGGAGGCAGAGCTGTAGGTAATGAAGACGAAGATGTTGAAGTTCTTCTTTGGGAGTAACCAGGTTGGATCGGATCATGATGAGCCGCCTGTCTTTTTCTCGCCGTCCTGCTCCACCAAATCAGCTGCTTAGCGTCACTCTGGCCTGGGCTGACCAGTGACTCACGGTAGGGGCTCTCCTTGATTCAGAGGCTGATGAATGCTTTCTGGACTCTGAATTTGCTGCTCAGGCGTCCAGTTCGGAAGAGACATTAGAGAAGCCCCTGGAGGTTTTTGCACTAGCCAGTGTAACTCAATGCACCAGCTCTACTGAGCCTAATCTTTTGGCCAGAGTAGAGATAGAAGCTGGCCGTGAACTGGGCTTCTCGTTCGGCTGGAGTGAGGCATGTGCATCCGAACTGCATGGGTTCCTCCTCTGCTGTAGCCTGTGATGTTAAAGGCTAAGTCCCAGGAGTAGTGGAGAGAGTAGGACTGGCTGTTCTATGGGTTCTTAATGTCTGGGGAGTGACCGGAGACTTACTCAGGGCTCACTCACGCCTTCTCTCCCGGAGCCGTCCATGGATACGGATGGTGAGCATGATCAGTTCATCAAGGGAGGGAGGCTCTTTCTGGGTGGCCAGCTGGTCCTTGCCAATGTCGCTGAGGCCCCTCCGAAAGGTAACTCGTAGTGTCTGGTCATTGAAGCCACTCTCTGCTGCAGCCAGCCTGAACTCCACGGAGTAGTCTGTGACACTGCCACTGCCCTGCTGGATACTGTTCAGTATCCTGACCGTGGATGGAATGATGGAATACCTGCCGTAACGCTGTCACAAAGTCCCGTGTATGAATGTACTTCACGGGATGCCTACCAGAGGTCACTGTGGGTGCTTATGACACAAACTTGCACTGAGGACTGGTTCGGGATCCAACTTATCCCAGCTCCAAACGAGCTGAATTGCTACATGTGGGTTATAAGCTGGCAAACCTCAGGTGTGAGGTACAGAGCACTCTGGCTGAGAAGGCTGGCTGGCTGGCCTTTCTCGAACACTTCTGCTTCAAATGTGACTATTTGACAGGGGAGAGGGGGCAAACAACTCCCTAAACGAGATTGTCCTGGTGTGAGTTTGGAACCTATTTAATCTTAAGCCACTTCCTATCTGCCCTTTTTTATGCTGCTCTATTTTGTTCCTTCTCTGGCAGAACTGCCCTGCTGGATACTGTTCAGTATCCTGACCGTCTTTTTTATGCTCCTCTATTTTGTTCCTTCTCTGGCAGGTGACAGGCCTCTTTTGGCTTCTGACCTATTTTGTCCTCTCCTCTGGCCATGTGCCCACAGCTAGTCCCTGTCACACGGGTCCCCTTTTTATCTGATTGGCCATAGTTCTTTTCGTTTCTTTTCTGTGATCTCAGGTCTCATGCACTTACCCTGCAAGGTCCAAGATAAAGACATAAAATACGCTCTGCTGTCAAGCCCATCAATAATGTAGTCCACACATGCTTGGCCAGAATTCCCTACAGTGCACTTCCGAAGAGGGCTGTCAACTTGAACAGCCAGGTGTACCACTGAAGAGGAATAAGTATATTTTATGTGATGTTTTTGGTTTGTAGGAAGGTTTAGGCATGTTTTTGCTCAAGTACCAGGACAGAGTGTTCCCTGAGAGAAAGGAGTGCATGATTGTTTTGGTAAAACAATGTTGTTGGAAACAAATGTGCATTTCCTTTCGGAACGGGGTGTGGGATTGCTTGAGCAAAACATGATTATTTTGAGAGTCACATGTGTATAACACCTGTTAGCGAAGAAGAAGGCTGTTCGGTGACGCCAGAAATTTTGGGCCGGCCACCCTCCCCTCTGTGGCACACGAACATTTGAGCGTAGAAAAGGAATCCGGAGCCAAACTCTGGTAGAGTCTGATGCGGGTTGCGTACGGACACCCAACTGGTTGGATGCACACTCTGCCGGGGATGTTGGCTCTCCTTCCCAGTGCGTTACAGTGAGAGTTTGGTCGTACTTATTGCATTTAACCAACTTGTGATTGTATTGCTGTGCTGATACTTTTTGGCGGAATAAATGACGCTCATATTCTAGCAAAGTTCAGTGTCTTGTGTTCATTTCTGTGTGTCTATTCTCAATGATCCTGCTTGAGTAAATAACAAAATATTGGAGTAACAAAATATTGTGAAAGTGTTTCAAAACAACCACACAGGGCCAGTCACACGAGAAAGCTTCCACTCGAGATGTGAGAGCACGTTTTTCTTTTTTTTGTCTTTTGGGGGGGGGGTTCGTCTTTTTTCTCCCTACAACGTCTTACTGCCATTTCCTGTCTTCACAATTTGGCCAGCTCAGCTACGAGTCTCGAATCAAAACAAATTTCAAAGGCTAACTCTTCCTGACACAATGAAGTAAACTTAATTGTGTGCTGCATGTGTGTTTAAATGAAGGATAAAACAAACTCAAAACAAATCAAATACAGCAGCCCTCTAATTAATGACTTGTTTCAGAGGTTTTTAAGCTGTTTAAGCCTTTTAAATTTAATAAAGAAAAAACAGTGGTGCCCATGGTGGCGGCTGAGTGTCCTGAAGGCATTAAATTCCAGTTGCCATTAATTAATTAAATTCTTCACATTATTGCGACATTGTCATCCACAGTGTCATCAGAGAGATGGACCGTGTTCATCAGCTGATGGGATACTGCCCACAATTTGATGCCATATTCAAACTACTGACTGGCACTGAGAATCTGGAGCTTCATGCCCGTCTTCGAGGAATGCCTGAGGAGTCTGTCACCCAGGTCGTAAAAATAAAAATTTACCACTCATAAAAAGAACAAATTGACAAATAGGTAAAGATAAGTCAAATTTCGTCTCGCATGTAAAGCCAAAATTTGTTAATGAAGATTGACTTTCACTGAAACCTAAACAAGTCTACTCAACACGACGTCACACCTTTGTACATTGTGTGTCTTGTAGGTGGCTCTGTGGTGTTTGAAGAAAGTGGGACTTAGCCAGTATGCCAAGCAAGAGGCTGGAAACTACAGCGGAGGCAACAAGAGAAAACTGTCCACTGCGATTGCCCTCATCGGTGCTCCGCTTGTTTTATTTCTGGTGAGGAACATGACACCTTGTCAACCAACATGGGCAGTGGGTGAAAGCACCCCAACACATGTCACATGAATGTGTCTATAATTGACAATTACCTCAACAAATGTGGCTGTTGATGGACAGCCTGTAATGTTACAAGTTTGTCCATGAAATACTTGAAGGGTCATTCCACAATCGCGAAATGATTTAGGCACCGACGGTTTGTGAAATCAGGGCTTCTTTTATTTCAGGAAAAAAATGTTGACATAATTAAATTTGTCTACATGACAAAATAAATCCCAATATATAAATAAGTCACAATAAAAGCAAACATTTATTTGAATGCTAATTTAATTTGGCAGGTACAGTAATTACAATAACAGGGTTGCAAGCCACAGGTTTGCAAATCAACATTGAGTTTTTACAAAATCAGTACATGCTCGCTGTGTGAAGTGGTTAGGGGAGATGATTGTTGCCACCTGGATAAGGGAGATATCAATCACCACTCTGACACAGATGGTTCTTCTGGAATGCGCGCACCGGACTGGCGAATAATACCACGCGACGAGTGTTGGGGCGCTTTGCTCTGGGAAGACGCTGAAACAATGGCGAACGGCTCGCCAATTTCATCGCCTCAAATTGCCTAGTCGTGACGAACACACGCTTCCAACACCCCCAACGTCAGCTAGTCACCTGGAACTCGAACGATGGGCGGACGACTCACCAGACTGACTACATTCTGGTTCAGTCATGATTGGCGAGTTCAGTCCTCAATGCTTAGGCGCAGACACGGGCAGCAAGAGCAGCTCCAACCACGCGCTTGTGCATGCTATCCTTCGCATCTGACTAAGAGTTAATCGCCCGCCAAAACGCACCACGCGGATTGATGTCGCGAAACTGAAGCTGGATGCGTGGAGGAATTTTCAAGTGGAGATCCAAAACCGACTACTGCTACCGGCTTCCGATGAGCTGGAGCAGGAGTGGCGGGAACTCAAATCTACCATCGCTTCAGCTGCGCGCTCGCATCTCGGCTCCACCAAATGCCAGAACCACGACTGGATCACTGCAAACATGCTGGCCCTTGCAGAACGATCCAGGCTTGCACGAGTCATGGCAGCAGCCAACTTCCGTGAACTAGCGACTTCCCACTCGGGCAATTCGGGCAGATCGAAATGCCTATTGGCGCGACTTTGCCGAAGAAACTGAGAGCGCCAACGCGGCAGGAGATACCCGCAAGCTTTACCAGCTGGCAAAGAAGGCGATCCGGAAATCCACCCGAGTCAGCGAAATGATCTGTGCAGAGAACGGTTCCGTGATTACCTCCTTGGAAAAACGTCTGCAACATTGGCGCAAACACTTTGAAGTTCTACTTCATCACCCACAACCACCGTTAGCGCTTGTTCTTTCAACTGACGAGGAGTACGACAGCAGCTCGAACCCGCCTACGGTTGATAAAATTCGAGGGGCCCTGCATCAGCTCCAGAATAATGAAGCCCCGGGTGAAGATGGCATTCCAATTAGAGGTAAGATCGGGCCGCCCGAGCCCGAACCCGAGCCGAAATTCGGGTCGGGTACGGGCCTAAAATTATCAATCATTGCTTCGGGTTCGGGTCAGGTCGGGCTTCTCTCTCGCTGACTTTTTTTTTTTTTTTCGAGGCCATCAAGAGTTTTGGCCACGAGAGACCGTGGTTCGCAAAAAACACAAGTTGCCTCATCACAACACGTACTGTACTAAACTCTTGACATGACATGACATGACAATTCTTAGAACTCCTTCCAGTCTCTGTCGAGTATCCCCACCCGTCAGTGTTCGTCTTTGTCCCTCTGCTTCTCTCTCTTAAAGTGCCGCACTAGATTCTTAAGGACGTACAGCTGCTGTGGTTTACGGCCCAATTTTCAACCCGTCAATATGATGGACAGCCTTAAATTTTCCCTGTCCACTCTTAAAAAAAAATCGTCAATGATGGGAAATTGTCGGTTAATGTAACCTCTTCAGAAACAGAAATATAAGAGATGTAAATGTTTATACAGTCTTTTTTAACTTAGATTTTGATAACAAAAGACGGGCTTTGTTATCAGAAATCACCCCTCCTCCTCCCGAGTCCTCACAAATAAAATGTGAAATCTCGGGTTTGCTTCGGGCTCGGGCCTGCAGATCAAGTTAAGTGATCGGGTCAGGTCGGGCTTAAATACTGTCAGCGACGGGAATCGAACAGGGAACAAGGGGGGAAAAAGGCCGCTCTATCCTTTCCTCCCTTCAAATTTGATTTATTCCCGAAGGTCGGCCCTCCCGGTAACGGGCTTCCAAGGGACGAGAGGCCTCGAGTGAGAGAGAGAGAAGAAAAAGGGGGAGCGGGCGGCCCCCGCCGCCGCTCTCCCTCTCCCTCGCC